CTCCGCTGTATCTCCAAACCCTGTGCCGCACGCACGAACTCCCCTGTCCCTTGCCTCACCATCATGCCTACCTTTTGGACACGACAAAGCCAGACACATCGCTCTCATCTCACATCTGGTGAACCTCTGGACATGACAAAGCCAGACACGTTGCTCTCACCTCACATCTGGTTGATATGGAAGGTTGGGCCTGCTTATGATGCATTAATGTTGGAGGTGGTTGCAAAACACCCAACTTGGCTGGAGGTTCCTGGATTTCCATCACCAGTTTCATATTCACTGCATAGGTTCCTGCACTTCGGGTGGGAAAATTGGTGGTGTCTGTTGGTGACTTTGGGTCTACTAAGCGATACGTATCTTCTTAATTTAACCATGGACAGACATGTGGGGAGGGAGGTATTTGCAGCCTGACCCCTCCACTATGTAGATTATTTTAGTGTTATTTCTGTGTTGGAATGTCCTGTGTGTCTTTTGGCTCGGTTGCACTGCAGGTCATTGTTATAACCAAGCTGGCATTATTAAATGACCTTCATTGATTCATCATTCACTTGAATGTTTTTGGTGACGCAAACTTACATTTTTGTAGTTTGGTAACCTACTCGAACCAGTACGACGAGTTCAATGTTCCATCGTGCAATACACTGAATATTTCTTTGCTCTAGTTCATTGACTAGAAATTTGTTTTCTCCTAAATTCTCTGAACTGACTGACATGTAGGCAATTACTTGTCATATGTTGCTCCTATCGCTGGAGTTCTTAACAAAGACACAAGCAAGTCTTCTAGGAATGGAAATGGCTTTCTGGAAGACGATCTGGATTCAGATGGTGATACTGCCATGCAAGAACCATCTGGAAGTAAATCAGAACAGAAGGATCATTCAAATGTGGATAGGTTGCCCTCTGTATTAAGTCTTATTAGAGAACTTGTAAGACATGATGCTACACCTGATATTTCAATTTCTGATGTACTGTACCTTCTAAATGTGATGTACTCTTATTCTTTGCCTCATTGAATTCTAATGTGCTTTCACTGCCTCTAGTGCTTGGAGGATCAACATGTAGTATTTCGAGATCAAGTCCGGAATCCTGGCTCAGCAACCAATGAAGAATACCATTTCCAGGTTACTAACTTTAATAGCTTAATATATTCTCGCTATTATAAAGTTCTACAAGAATAGTTGTCGGCCTTCTGGCTTATACTGCAATGTACCTGAGTGTTACAGTTGTGACCAGTTCTCATCTGTGCGGCTGTGCCCAGTACCTGTCTTTGGCTGTATGCTGGTGGGTGCTGCCAGTATTGGTAAATGATCCGCTGGGTCTGCTAAAGGGTTGCAGTATAAGCCAGAAGGCCGACGACCTTCTCACTGAAACAAACTGGTGTCTTCAAAGTTGGACCAAACTGGTTTCAGATTCCAACTTTCTTTCAACCTGGCTTGTACTGCTTCTTATTTGTTGGTTCCACCTGATTGCTATGTCTTCAAACTATAAATATTTTAATCCTTGAAAATTACACTTCCCAGTGATTCTATAGTAAACCAAATTGATTTTGATAGTCTCTAATCAGCATTTGTATGTATAGTAAATGTTCCTTCTGTGAGCTTGTTAATGCAACTAACATTGCAGTTGTTGTTAATCTTTTGAAGGTTGAACTAGCGGGACAGATTCTTGGGAATGGTATTGGTGTGAACAAAGATTTCGCGAAGCTTCAGGTACCATACTTCCTAGTGGTCTGCCCTTTTTGTTCGTGGCTTTTTTATGCTTTTGTGCCCTTGCCATATTAAAGTATTTTTGCATCAGACAATGCACTGATATGGCACAATATGACATCTGCAGTATTTCAAAGGTTGTGCATTGTATGTATATATGTCTACATGACATTCTGTTGCTGGACATAAAACCTGGTATAAGTTGGGAGTAGATTGAAATATTTGCAACCATCTACCTAGAATTTTAGTGTATGCACAGTTATTGGGGGCCCACTCCACAAATGGTTCAGTCATTACTCGCTAGTACATTTAGATGATGGCATATTGCACGAACGGATGGCTCATCTAGCAATATGCCATCATCTAGTTTATTTTCTTGTGCTCCGCTATACTAGGTTACGTGCAATGACTTTCTCATCTTTTAACATAAAATTTCCCCTGTTTTTTGGGACATTATGTTGTTTCAGGCGGCAGAAGATGCGCTGAGGTTCTTGAAAACAACCACTGACCCACAGATTAAGAAGCATTTGAGACCAATAAGGTAAATTATTGTTCGTACAACAGCATGCTCTGGATACCTAGCATTTCTTTCTTGAGTTAACCTAGCGTTTGTTTCAGTGTTTAGTACTTAGTTTTAGTGCTAGAACCAGTTTTCCTTTTTGAGATGCTATTGTTTTTGAAATAACAGTGTCGTGTTACAAATTCTGTTGTTTCTATATTTGTTGCAGATGCAGCAGTTGATTTCTTCACCCTCTGGCCCCAACCAAATGAGTTGAAAGAAAGCGGAATGTGAAATCAATCCCTCGGCTATCAGCACACCTTTAGCCTTCGGACAGGCAACTTTTGGAAATGGCATTACGGAGAGCGGGACGTGGTGCTCTTGTGACCACCTTCGCTGGAGAATCTTCTGGTAGACTATTTTGCTTCCGGGCAACTACAACTGCAGCCGTAGTCATCTCGGTAGGATGCTGGCGTAGTTGGCTGTAAACAGGTAGGAATGTAGGATTAGTCGTGAATAGTAACTGTTTACCTGACGGATGCGGTTGCTTGTAAATTGTTCAGGGGCATTGAAACTGGAATGCTCGTGCTGATTTCAAAGTTTATATGTTCATAAGCGGTGATGATGTTCTCTGTCGGTCGTGCTTGTGCTGGTTTTGGATCGAAGCTCCTTATGATGTAAGGTGCTTAGAAAAATAAATTGGTTTTTTAAGCACTAGTGCTTATCTCTTGATTAGGCATCTATTCTCCAAATAAGCATCGATGCTTGAGAAAAAAATGATTTATGAATGTTACATAACCTCTGTTTATCTGTTTATTTTTATAGGACGTTTTAGACATTCAGACACTGTTCAACAGTACAAAGCAAGCTGTCGTTCCTAAATATAAATCTTTGTAGGGATTTCATTAGGTGGACTACATACGGAGCAAAATGAATGAATCCAAACTTAAAATGCATCTATATACATCCGTACGTGGTTCATAGTGAAATCTCTACAATGACTTATATTTAGAAGTATTTTCTTTTAGAAGCATAGTACAAACGCTAGCATACACGCACATACACTAATCCTTATAAAAAACGACTGAGTTGACAAGTCTTGAGATTAATGAAGTCACCGTCAAATATCCTTATAAAAAACACATTCTATCTCTATGAGTCATACACTAATCCTTATAAAAAACGACTGAGTTGACAAGTCTTGAGATTAATGAAGTCACCGTCAAATATCCTTATAAAAGACACATTCTATCTCTATGAGTATTTTCAAGACTGAGTTGACAAGTCTTGAGATTAATGAAGTCATCGTCATAGATTTGAAACAATATTTGGTCTTTACGAGATACATGTGACAAGATCCTTGATGAGTCGGCGTACAACCACCCTCGTAACCATCAAACCGTAGGTGATTGGTATTCATATCTAGTTATAGTTATTAATAATAAGACATAGATAATTCATTGTACAACATTTTTCACTGCCATATATATTACGTGACGGATGTAAGATAATACCTATTACTATTTTACCAACCATTGTTCACGCCCTTACACAGATAGACACGAGTACATGTTGCTAGACCATGATTGTCCGCCTACGAAATCGCCCTTGTTCTGTTTTATATATATGCCGCAATTTTGCAATCAGTATAACTTCTAGCTATACTCATCACGGAATAGCAACCGGAGTCTGCTCCTTGTTTGAAATAAGTACTAGTGTCAAAAAAGTCTTAAATTTTGGGAGGGATGGAGGGAGGGAGTAATAGATAAGAAGTCGAAACCACTGATAACAATATTAACAGCTTCCATCGGAGGAGTTCCTACCGGCAACAGTGTGCAGGTGCAGCGACTGTTTGCGTTGCAGCTCCCGGCAATCTCATTCCTCCGGGGTTGCATGCATCGTGAAAAGGAAAAATGGTTCTCAACTAGGAGTAAGAAACATTATATGATCTGTACCGTACGTACACAGGATGCTTATTTTTCATGTTTTTGTTGTGCCGATGTGGAAACCAAGGTTCCGGAGCAACCCCTGGAGGGCTTTCCTCATCCAGACCATGTCATTTTCGAACATCCTGGCCGGCGTATTCGCAGCTTCCTTGTACAAGATGATGTCGTCGCCGTTTATTCCCGCAGAAGCAAGGCTGCCGTTTTGTGCTGCTGCCATGTTTGCTCTTCTGCGAAGCTCCTCCGGGATCTTCTCGTCTTTCTGCAAGGTAAACTGCAGCTAGGATGAAGCAGTCTTATGGTCATATATCAACGAAATGAGAGTGGGGGAATCCATTTCACCTGTGTCCGGTTCGCTCCATGTACCCACATCGTTTCCGCGTCCAGAGAAGCTCCTACAGCCGCAGGTGACTCCTCGGCATGCATGAAGCCCTCGTAGGTCTCCTGATCGTCGTCGGTCCGGCCATCATCTGCCAGCAGCACGTCGGTCTCCTCCGCTCCGATCGGCAGATGTAATGCCGCCTCCGACACTTCCTGGCACCCGGCGTCGTCCCAGTCTTCGTACACGACCAACGCGTTGGAGGCCTCGGTTATCTGCAGAGCCCTGTTGCCGCCGTGCTGCCAGCGGACATGGCCGGAGGGGTCTTGCAGCAAGAACTTGAACTCGACCAACCTGTTCGCTGGCAGATCCTAGCCCAGACCAACGATGGTGAGAGTGAAAGAATGTGAGTGACTGGTTGGGACTTGGGAGGGGAGATTACCGTCGTCGCCGTCCAGACGTGGCCTTCCGACCAGTCCAGAGCGGTCGCCTTGGCCGGGTCCCAGAGGCCGAGCGCCGGGTCGTCGCCGACGACGAGGAACCGCTGGCCGAACGCGCACTTCTTCTCCAGCACGAACGTGACGCTCACCGTATTCACATGATCTGGCGAGGGTAGGCAGCAGTCAAAATACCTTGGCCGGATTCCTCAAAAAAAAAAAAAAATCGCACCAGATTTTTGTGGCATGTTCCCGTACGCACGAGTGAAAGTGGAGCTCACCGTCGGGGGGCGGCAGGACTGCGGTCGAGGCTGGGCCGAAGGCCATCATCAGTACAACTCTGACGGAGGCGACGTCGTCCTCATAGGCAGCCTGCGCGATCTGCGCCGAACCGACAGATTTCGTATGTGAGGAGAGCTGACGTGATTGCGCGGGAGCAGAGCAGAGCAGAGCCAGTGAGGCACTGGCACCAGAATCTCAGAGCAAATTACCTCCTGCGCGACCGCCACGGCGCTGCGCGAGGGCGCGGAGGGGGCTTCTCCGAGCGACGCCACGACGAGGAACCTCCGCCGGGCGGCGGGTCCGGCTCCCGCGCCTACGCCGTGGCGCCGCGCCGGGTGACCAGGGCGTGCCCGTGCGAGCACCACGCCTCCTCGGCACGCCGCGGCCGCCGCGGCTTCCATCGTGGCGCCGGCGCCTGGCGCGTTCCTCGGGAGCGGAGAGCCGGCAGCTGAGCAGCACAGTGAACGCTGGCTGTACTTGTTTCTGGGGAGCGGCGGGCGCGGGTGTGTGTGTGGCCGTGGTGGCTGCTGCTGCTGGGTAAGCAGTTAGCCTGCGGGGCCGGGGCCCCCATGTCCTGGTCTCGCGTCTGGATCCGCGCGCGCCGTTCTTTGCGTGGCAAGCAAAGGCCGCCAAGTCAGTCCCAACCTGTACTAGTACAAAGTTCACCTGCTTTTCAGATGTAAACAATCAAAGGAAATTTGAGAGATCTTGGATCGGCCTGGAGGACATTATTAGTTCATGTCATGCCGGCTAGCTCCACCGAAGTCTCCAACGACGAGAACGACCCCACCATGGAGACGGGTCCTACGGCACCGCACTGGAGCCCCCATTTGTGCATGCCGGATTTACCATGCAGCAGTCACATGGGCACTTCAACGCCGCCATGGCGGAGGAGCAGCCTGCGCCGATGTCTATGTCGGCGTTCCAGCAGGCGCAAGAAAAACATCGGTACAACCTGTTTCTCCTAGAATAGCACCGGCTGGCGGAGGGCTAAATCGAAGGTGAGCGCACGAGCGAGGAGGCCGTGGCAGCCATGGCCGCGGTGAACTCTAATTTCATCGCGAGCAGCGTGCGATCTACGAGGCCGCCCGCCAGGAAGCGGCCGCCATAGAGGCGCATCTGCAGGCGGTTGCGGACGAGAACAATGCCAGCTGCGCCTCCTACACGTTGCCGACGAACTTTCGAGCGTCCCAGTGCGACAACGAGAGTGCTCGCGCCACCATTTCCATTGTAGACCTCGCGTCCACTAGCGACGGACAAGGCGTGGACTCCTCCAAGGATGAGTAAGCCATGGGAGGCGGCAAGGCCTTATGTCCCACGTGGGCCGGTCCGTCTCCCATGTTCTAAGTCTTCCTTGACGGAGACCGCAATTTCACTTCATCGGTCTTACGCCGGTGCTCATGAAGATGACAAATGGAGGAGGCGGCCCCAGGAAGGGAACAACAATGGCTTGGACGCCTACGACCACCGTAGGATAGGTTTAGGGTCGGAACGTTTTTTTGTTTGTTCTAATTGTTCGAAATAATGAAAATCCACCATGTTTGCATGAATGTCGTCCGATTTATATGAAATCCGCCGTGTTTGTAGGAATTTCATCCGGTTAGTTTAAAAAGTTGTTGAAATGTATGCGGTCAACATTGAATGATGGCCTCTGGCATCAGTGTCCACAGACAGATGCCGAAGCAAATTTGCGGGTCAGCATTGAAGATACTCTTATTACTTGTATGATAACATTATGCAGACGTTGTACCTGGCTTAGCATTAGCAAGTATCCGTCCTACCAGCTAGTCTAACAAACACAAGATAAATAAAGATACACGTGATTCAGTTTCCTATTTCCCTGACAGATGGTCAGGACGGCCTTTCCTGAGCTCCTTCCTTCAAACAAACATCTATTGCCATCTCTTCCTACGTTGATCAAATAATTTAAAATACACCTGCAACATAGTTTCATATCCTCTTAATACAGAATGTCAAGGACTTTTCTGAACTCTTGCCTCGAAAGTTTATTGAGGGCAATCGACGTGCCCCGGTCTATGTTTTGCTTTGCTCCACCCATGGGTGGAATAGGCCAGTTATTCCTCACCACCGGATCTATGATCATACGCTCGAGAGAAGTCGCATTCCGAAGGAGGTAGAGTGCTAGCTCAACCTGACCAAGTAAACCATAGAACCCCGTCATTTTGATAGTCTTGAGATGACGGTGAGGATGTGGCCGGTAGGCATCTTCTCTTGGTTCACCATCAATTGCAGAGTCAAAACAATGCATCTGCATGATCGTATTGGTGTGTTAGACATACTTAACCAGAAAAATATTATATTTAGAGCCAACAAAACTGATCAAGTGTTTGGCATCCCATATATGGTTCATGAGAAACGCCAAGAAGAAAATGGCAAAAGGGAGACAAGTTTGAGAAATTTATATAGCAGAAGGCCAAGAGTTCCAGACAATTCAATACTAGCACATTTAGGTGTAAAAAATTCAGGAAAACAATCATAGGTGTATAGTTCCTTTTCTGGATGTCGTTTTAGACAAATATAGACAGTCTCCAATGAAAGTTTTGAGAAATCTGATGGTAAATCTAGGTCATCTGGACAAAAGAATCTCACTATATGATAGCTTGTTGAGGCTCGAGCATGGACGTAATATAATATATCCCTCCGTCCCATAATATAAGAGCGTTTTTGACACTAGTGTAGTGTCAAAAACGCTCTTATACTAATGTAAAAAACGCTCTTATATTATGGGACGGAGGGAGTACTAACCAGCCACATCTATCTATTACTCCCTCCGTTTCTAAATATTTGTCTTTTCAGAGGTTTCAAATGAACTACACATACGGATGTATATAGACATATTTTAGAGTGTAGATTCACTCATGTTGCTCTGTATGTAGTCACTTGTTGAAATCTCTAAAAAGACAAATATTTAGGAACGGAGGGAGTACTAAGAAATTATGAACACCATGCGTCTCCAATGTGAAATAATATAAACTCATCAAGTTTGCAGCACATTGGCGTGCAACACAAATATGTATATAAAGTTATTCGCCGACCTAGGACAAAAAATACCCCTGCCAATTATTTGCACAAAACATTGCTCATACACCTACAATTCCTCAATATTATACATCTAGGATTATCTTTTCCAAAAAAAAAAAATCCAACCTTCCATTTGTTTTCTGACCAAATGCACCCAAGATCATTTTAGAATTTTCCATGGTAATGTGAGATCACTTACATGGAGTACGAACTCTTCCAAAGCAGGGGCTAACTCCAACAGATAGGCCAAACGAAGAATCCCACCAGTGACTTCTGGCGGCCCAACAATATCGATTTTCAGGACCAGATGTCTCAGATTTGTGAGCATGGTCCGACTTTTCACAAAATTTATCACCTGTAAGGCAAGCATGGCAGCAGTGAAACAAGAATGAGCCAATGACTGGCTCATAAAGCACAAAGAAATGAAGCTGGATCATGAAGGCAGGCACCTTCCAGTGTTTAACGAGCAAACCTTGGTTTCAATTCGGAAGCCTATGGAGAGGGACGGAACATGCGAAAGAGCATCGACAAGATCAGTGAAGACGTAATTGAAGCAGTCCGAGGATGTGACCAAGTCGACCGTCGCCTCCGAAATCTTCACAGATTCACCAAGCAATATAGGTATCACACGACCAGCGATCGCAAACATGGTGAGGTTTGGAGCTCGGACATGCAGCTTCTGCAGCATACAGTACTTGACCTGCAAACAATGGAGCCTGCTCAGTTCCTTGCCTATGCTTAGCTCGTCCAGTCTACACCTGGTGAGGCTTAGCCACTCAAGAACAGCGCATTTTGGGAGCAGGCACCCGAGATCCCCTGTGACATGAACTATTTCTAGGGAGAGCTTCTTAAGGTTGGCAAATCCACGGTGATCAGGAGGCAGTGGTAAATAGACGAACCCCAGACTAAGAGACTTCACGCAAGAACCACCCGAGGTGTCGAGAAGATGCAGCGGGAAACTGTACTTGTCATCTGTGTCGGTACTGCCCTTCGGCCCTGGACATAAATCAAGAACAACATGCTTCGCCATCGACGAGGCACAGAAATTGATCCATCTATCAATGTGAGGTGTGTGCCTTTTGCGAAGCGCAAACTTGACCACAAACTTATTCAGGTTAGATGACTTGAGTTGTCGCTGGATGCTGTTGATCCCCCTGATAAACCTTGTCCGCAAGGGTTTTGCAGGGCCTGTCGTGGCGTTACTGCGACGCATCGTGGCTCTGGTGAACACTAACTTTGGGTAGCATTTCCAAAGCCTGCTCCACCTCCTAGATAGTATGCTCATTCGCACGGCTTCTTTCATTGTCAATCGCGATAGTATACCACGCAGTACATCCTGTGGAAGGAATCAAAAAAACAAATCAGCGGTTCTCCTCAATGCGTTTGAGCCACCAAAAAGATATCGTATGTGTTCAAGTCTCAGTTCTACCTTAATTAATGTGTGAGGAACAAGTATTATCGCCCTTCACTGAAAAAGAAAGATATACACGTGCTACTGCCCGTTAACGAAGATGCAAGAATTTAACTTACTGTGGGTAGATGATGAAGCTGAAGATCCTTGGATCTTGTCGTCTTAAAAGGTTTTACGGAACGCCAATTAATCCTAGGTCCCTGCCCACAAACCATGGGGGCACTCGTTTTCATCACTGGAGTAAACTTGCTAGATCTGCAATGAAGTAATCATGTTATCATGAAAGCCCAGCAAAAAAGGAGCCTTTTTTTACATGAGCACAGAAGGATCTAAATAATCAAATTTTCGCATAACTATTTGGTTCATCTCAACATCTGTTGCCGGTAGTTTGATTAACATACAATCCATTTAGCATGAACTTTGCGCAGGGTCAAATGCCCGTAATACATCAGAACATGGTAGCAGGAGAATTTAATAACGCTCTGTACATTTTCTTTACTGACCATGAAGAATACAATGGTAATTGCTGGGAAAAGCCCACCTCAAACAACTACCATTGGGTGCAAAACTATTCTGATGGCCGCCGCTCCCAAAATACCAGTCGATCTGAGTACCTATCTGACAATACGATTTTGGAACAAATCGATTTACTGCGGACCTACCGGTATTCAGATGCGAGC